GACTTCCAGTAGATTTTAGAAACTCCCTCCGCGATCCTCAGCCTGTGCTAAATGCCAGTGGGCAGTGTTTCTTTTCCCCCTGACAGCATTTTTCTGTGGGTTTGCTAAGGACAGGCTGGGTTACCAGAGCTTCTCTTTCCAATGTCCTGAAAGATTAAGAAGGAAGTAGAAAAGGTAGAGCCACCATCAGGCCAGCAACACTGGTGACCATCACACCAAGGTTAACTGGAATATTTGGGGTAAAGTGGGAAGAAAACGATTTTCTGACAGGAGGCTGGATTGACAGCCATGATGCTCTGGAAGCCACTGAAAAGGACACTGCTGGGCAGAAAGTACTTGGTGTCATCCATGACACAGCACTGGGTGAAGTCTGGACATACACCTTCTCAGCCTGTTTGAAACTTGCCCTATTCTGTGACCTTGGATAAGTTTCCTTGTGTCTCTAATCCTTTTTCCCTTCTAAAATGTGAAGACTACTTAGGCTGGGAACTGAGGTACTGCAGTTTTCCCAGTTCCTCCAGATGATGATTGTGTACAATACATAGAAGGACATCTATAACACACTGTGTTCATAACGGCGTAGATTGGCAGGGAGGGTCTAAATGTCAGACCCCTCGCCATATGTTACAGCAGGGTGGGTTGGCTTCTTAGGCAGTACTTAGAAGGTAAATAGCTACCTCCTGCACATGACCACTAACTCTCAGTGTCAGATCATCCATCTCAGTGTGCCCAGGAGGGGACACTGGAGATCTTGTCACAGTTGGAACAAGAGCAATGGACACAAACTGTCCTTGCCCAGGGACTTCTAATGAAGAGTCTCCAGCACACTTTTCATTCTTATTGCTTTAGAAGCATAAACTTTCCTGCTGACAGGGTTGTCAGCACTAAATACTGACCACATAAGGTTTTGTGTTTTCCCTTGGAGAGTTTTTGGCTGAATCTGGAAAACCTACCAATCAATTCCTATTACAGCATGTAACTAACAAAATATAAAAGAGGAGAGGAAGAAACTTTCCTCTTTCTCCATCAGTAAGGTGCATCATACTTCTGGACCTAACAGAGGAAAACTGACCTGAAATGTGAAAAAAATGTGTACAGTAAAATAAGGTCTCTAAGGAGAAAAAGTCATGACTCTAACCAAGTGTGAAAGAGAAGTAAGGTGATTGGGAAGAATAACTCTCCAAGGAAAGCCAATTTTTTTCTGGTCCTTTGAAACCTCCTGAAATAATTTGAATTTATAAATTCTTAAACAGCTCAATTGGCCTTGCTCCAATTAACAAGAGCCATGGATATTTTGCAAGTTCAGTCCCCACTGAGTTAAGTTACATGGGTATCAACAGTGGATATAGAAGAAGACTCAGCCTGGGTATGAAAACATGTTCAGTTTTAGCAACAGCCCACATTTCAAAAGTGGGTGAAAGAGAGTGAATAAAAATGAGACCACACATACATACATACACACACACACACACACACACACACACACACACACACACACATCCCCCACAAGATTGGAGGTATTTTAAGAAAGAAGTAGAATGTGCAGGATAAGGTAGCCAGCTGGAGCTCACATTCCCAGTTTAAGATGAATTGACCTACACAGAGTCCTACTATTCAAATGGGAAAGATATTAGGCTGAAATGACCTAAGAAAACACAGATGCCATGGAAAAGACAGTTGACCTTCCCAAAGACCCAGATGTCCTAGCATTTCAACTCTTCAATCCATTTATTTGAGTACCTACTGTATGCCTGAAGTTGTGACGATCCCTGTCTTGGGGGTGTTCCCAGTCAAACAAGGCAGAAAAGACATACACACTTGATATTACTAGAGAAGAAACCAAGGACAGCTGAGAAATAGAAAAGAAAGCCATGTGACCTAAAGTGTCAGCAAGTTTGATAGAGGAGACAAAACTTGAGATCAGTCTTGATGGATGTGAGAATGGTGGAATAAGACATTGGGAGATGGGAAAAATAGGGAAATGAGAAGTGGCAGAAATGAGGGTACCATGTTGGAAAAAGAGAGATGAGCTGAGACACATGTCAGGGTACATAAGGGAAGTTGATCTATAGTCCCTGTAGCTCTGTCCTGCTCCCCTGCCATCCACAGTCATGCCTGAGAAAGGTGATTCAAGAGAGAAGGGTTACAGCCCAGATTCCCCTGCATGGTAGATCAATCTCTATTTAGATGCACAGAGTCTGTAGGCATCTCTAGGACCCTGTTCCTAGAGAGGGAGATGGTAACAAAGTTTAGAACACTGTGAGGGAGTTGGTCCTCTAATTTGAAGGAATGCACCTAAGTATTGCAAGCAAAGGTTCTGCCCTCACAAACAAAATGGGGAGAAGGAAAACTTTCACTTGGTGCCCACCCTCAGTTTTATTCTTACCTTTCAATGAAATACTAGGTCAGGGTCTTTTTTGTTCAATTCTCTGCTGTAGGGAGAACTTCTCTGAGTTAAGTACTATTTTATTTTTCCAAGACCAAAGAGAAAAATGCTTACCCCAAGAAACAAATGATAGGATTTCAGGTAATAGTACAGGAGATATTAAGCTTATGTAAAGTAGTCCATTATCTAATAGTCTGAAAGGTACTTGTGTGGTCCCTTGTAAGCCCCGCTCTGTCATCCAGATCTACCAACAACTATGGAACAGAATGATCTCTCTAAAGACATTTGGAGCATTAGAAATGATACCATGCTATCCATTGGGCCTCCTGCATTTTATGTTTCAAATGGCTGCCAACGGAATGCTGAGACATGATCTTCCACAGAGTAGAGACTGTTTTGAAGTAACAACTATATCTCTGCTTTGAAGGATCTATTCATTTTTATTTAAGAAATCTTTATGAAATGTTTACTATGTTATTGTCACATTTGTTTATGAGGACTTGCTAGGAACAAGAAAGAGAGGGAAGAGAAAGAAAGACAGGAAGACAGAAAGACAAGAAAGAAAGAAAGAAAGAAAGAAAGAAAGAAAGAAACAAAGAAAGAAAGAAAGAAAGAAAGAAAGAAAGAAAGGGAGAAGAGAGGGAGGGGAAAAGGAGGGAGGGGCAAAAGTGACCAAGAGGGAGAGAAATGGAGAGAAGAAAGAGAAAAGAAAGCAAAGTGGAGAAACACAGAGACTGAAACAGAGATAGGGAAATTTGCCTAAGCAGCAATTTTCAAAATTTAATAAGAAACAATAGAGGATTTCTCTGAAGTGCAAAGCTCTGAACACACCAGAAAAAAAGACTGTGAATCAGTGCATCTAGGAGTAAGCTCTTGAATCCATGTTTTTAATAAAGAACTCAGTGTATTCAGTCATAGGTCCCTGACTACACTGCAGTTCATTGCACAGGACAACAACATGATGTGGAGGTCAAGAATAAGAAACCTTAAGTGGCTGAGGCCTCCCCTTGGTTAACCAAGAACCAGAGAGACCTCAGGGGGCCAGGCCTAGGCCTTGCCAGTTCATAGCAATACAGAAAAATATATGCAATACAGTCATTTGTAAAGCCCAAGACAAAGCCCCATTTACCATGAAGACAAATCAAAATGGCTCTAGAGGGCATCACTGAAAACACTGGTGTTCCCATGGCAACTGTAATAAGTGTGTGACAAGCTGAGCAAGCTATGGGTAAGAAAGGCAAGGTGAAGGACATGGGTTGAAGAGTACACCATGTGATTTGTGAAGAACTGCTATGCTTATGCTAACCCACATTATATCTCAAACAGAAGAAATCAAAAAGTAAGAAGATTAATTCCCTACAAGAAGGCCTTGAAAGTAACAGGCTGGTACATAGCTGGATCATGAAGTATCATTTGCCCTTTTGTGTTCCTACAATTTGCTTGCAGTATTTCTAATACTAGAGACTCCACTAACTGCTGAATAAAGCAATCAAACCTGAACTCAAGCATTAAAACGCAAGTACAATAAATACACCAGAAAACAACTACCAAGGACTTTTATTTAATTTCAAATATTATACATTTGTTTTCATTTTCATAGAAAATATTGAGTCAAAAAAACACCAACAGTGTTTGTTTTCAGAAAAATGTATGCACCCCATTCTGGCACCTGCTGCTATCCTCCACCTGTGACATTGGCCATGTGTGTAAGGACCATGGCCAGTGGGGCTGGAGCTTCAGGGATGTGGTCCCTACAGGTCTCCTGAAGGGGAGTCATTGTCTTGAAAACAACAGATACCCCCACTTCAGTTTCCTTGCATATCACTGAAAGGAACTTCTATGCAGGCCCGAAGCTCATGTCAACACCAGTTCAGTACAATTGAGTACTGCTGCAGCCTCATGCCATTTCCAGACCATTCCGGAGGGGATCCTGCCCTCTCTCTGGCATATTAGTGTCCTGAGCTCATCCACTAAACTTCCCCAGAAGCCACAGTGGGAAGACACTGGCATATAGTGTTTATATTCAAATCTTCAGCAAACACACTAAAGAACATGTAACCCCCCATGCACAATACTACTACAAATGCATATTGGTACAATACAACCCTTGGAATCACTGACTAAAACATAGCCATGTGAATATTTGTTAAATCTTCATATAGTTATACATATAGTATGAAAAATAATACAGACTAAAAATGTAAAAGATCATTTCAGCTATAAACATCTCACAGGTAAATAGATGGTGTGTACAATAGTCCTCTCCCCCACTCCCTTCCTTCCCTTTCTTGGGACTGTGTCATTTCCTGAGTTATTTCCTTTACCCTGCCTCCTAATGCTGCCTCCTCCTATCCCTCCCAAATGATGCTTTCACTAAAATCAGATTTTATGTGACAGAACACTGTAGTTCTGCCCTCCGGCTCCTCTGCTGTAAATTGTATGCTTAATTTGAGTTCTGCATCCAGCTTTATATTAAAGAGAGATGAATTACCCCCCAAAATACACAAACAAACAAAATAGCTGGAGAAGAAAAAGAGTTAGAATTGCCTCAGCTCTTAGAAATTGAAATATGTTCTTTCTTCTTCACAATGGTCTCTCAGTTGATAGGAATAAAATAAGGCTGGAATTGCTTTTCACATTCAGGCTCTGTGGGGGGCATTTTCACATAGACTCCTGTTGTAAGAGGACTTCTCTTTTTTAGCTGCCAAACATAAAAAGAAACAGTAATTACTATCAAAGAATGAAAAAGCTACATCTAACCATTAGACTCAGCAAATATTGGTCCTTACCCCACAGAAAATACATGTGCACAATATACAGAATTATGAACTCCAGGAGATTTTCTTGATTCTACTTGATTAAAATTCATTTTAGATAAATAAGTCAGCGATGTAGCTGTAAAATAGTAACCATTTTCCCTGACTGGAAGATAGAAGGAAGAGACTTTGAGAAAACAGAACACCAGAATACCAACAAAATTGACAAGATCTTGTCTATGGATGAACAAGCGTGACAGGCCATCAACTTTAGTTATCCTCTCTGAGAGCTGTATTTCCTGTCTCCATTCTTCACATGATTTTTATTGCTATACTTCTGTCTGCATTAGCTACTAGTCTATTACTTCAGTAAGCTGTGTAGCCGTGGATAGCAAATGAGGCAGGGGGAACACACAGCAACACAGTATCACTGTCAATTGAGCACAGGCTTTTTGAGTTGTGTGTATGCTGCAGGGAGGGTCTCCAAGACAGAAAAAGAAGAGGGGGGCGAGGGAGAGAGAGGGGGAGAGAGAGAAAAGAGGGAAATGGGTAGGGAAGATGAGAAAGGAGACAAAAGAAGAAGGAAGAGTGGTTTGTGATGTAGGCACAGGTGCTCACGGGAAATGTCAGCAGCCTGATTCCATACCTCTTTCTCTTTCACCAGCAAAAACTGCAGTGACTGAAAATGGGACTTTCATTACTTGGCTGGAAAAGAGCCCAAGATGCCTCCATCACGGAGGCTTAATAATAGGGACAGGGACCCCTTGGGCAGCTACAGCATAGACAAGGAAGGCACAGGGTGGCCTCAAGAGATGGGTTTCATGTGAAGCACAGGGACATTTAGGAGGAGAATAAAAGTCCATCCTGACAGTCCTTACTAGTAACATTTTGCCCAACCTCATCTTATATTTCAGATTATCAACTTAAATACAGTTGTCACGAAGCTGCAGAACAAAACAGCTGCCCCATGTTGTTCAAACGATTACTCAAACTGAAACCCTGTTCAGAAGCACACAAACATTCAATGTCAAACATGCTCATGCCCATGTTAGTCATCTTGAAACCTCAAAGGCCAATGCTTGAGGCTCTAGTGTTCTTTGCCACTGTCCTTCCTCCTGTTTGTGGATTGCTTCACCTCCAGAAATTAACACTGACACTGTGATTTGGTCAGTGGATCTGAATGACTGAATACAACCCCACCAAACACGGTGCACTGTCGGGGGCACACTCACCATTTTGCTCAAAGAAACAGCTGTGACGAGGAAGCTATAAAAAAACAGCCCCGAACTGACTGCTGCAAGGACCCAAAGCAGGAAGTCAGAATCTGGGCATGGTTCTGGATCTGCAAAGGAAACACAACAGAGCCTCCCAGAGACCAGCTTCAGCATTAGGGCCCATTTCCCCCATTACTGAATAAACAAATTAGCGCTTCCAGACCTTGCTGCCCAACCCAAAGTTGCCTTGGTCATGCAGGAAAAGTGTGGCTATTTGAGACAACTGCCCCAGAGTGTCATATTAAAGGCACAAGGCAAACTTCATGCTGGTTGTCACAGAGCAAGGATCTGGTAGCAGAAATAAACACCTTCCCCAATCCTTTCCTTTTATAATCAGAAACCTATTTATGTCACCGCCCATAAATCAAGGCTATTCCATGATCGAGAGCACAGAAGGAGCCTTTCTACGTCCTATAAATGAGTCATCTAAAATAAAGGAGCAAAACTATTTTCATACAGAGAAGACAGTGACACAAAAGGCCTCAGTTTAGTGAAATGGCTTTGCTCACCAATGACATAAATCTGGGTCCCATTGCCCATGGCCACGAAGTATGGTGGTGGGTACATGAGCTCCACCTTGCAGATGTAGAGCCCGGTGTCCACAGCCCTCAGCCCTTGGATGGTGAGGTTCACTTTGTTCCCACTGGAGGTTCCAGTGCAGGCCGAGTCCTCAGGAAAGGCCAGCTCCCTCTCCACTGTGTAGGTCGCGGCACAGACTTCAGAGGTGTGGCTGGCCGCCTGCCGCAGCACAGTCACCCGGACCTCGTTGGCATTGTGCGAAGAGGCATACTCACACTCAAAGCTGGCGACTCCCCGGCTGCTGGCCAGCACCACAGCAGGCTGGGCCACATGCATCGCTAGCATGGAAAAGCGAGAGGGAACTCGGTGACCAGGTGCACATCAGCACCAGGTCCAGGAATGTTTATCTCTGATGGATCCTCCAGCCTCATCTTCCAGTCCTAAGTGCTCCCCTCCAGCAAACCTAACAGTTCCCTTCCCTCCCCGCCCCACCAGGCCCCCTATATCTCTCTGCTGTCTTCTACTACTCTCCAGAGGAGGTTTCCTTACTGGGAAATCATTTCTTAAAGACGGGGCAGGAAACACACAGATGTGACAAATAAAAGATTGGGCTCTACCATGAAATAGGTCATTTTCGCAAGTTGCTCCTCCCCATATTTTTCCCACATGCAGGAAAGGGATTTAGATCACATGAGAGCAAAGTACCTACCAACTCTGGGATCCTAAGGTTATAATAAAACCATGTAGTTCCAGTACTGTAGCAAGGACTAGGGGAAATTCTGGAGTTTGAGTACAGTGTCTCGCCTAATACCTCAACGCATATCTCAGACTCCTGCCTCCTTACCTAACCGGCCCTGTATCTCTATCCCCAGGAGTAGCACAGCCATGGCCACCCCTTCCCTGGCACGATTGTTGTATAGTGGCAGATACTGTTAGATGGGGAAGCCACAGAACCAAGGGCACCAGGTCATTTCCTCTCTGGGGTGAGGCAACCCTGCTGTTAACTTTGTGGGCTTCCCCTGCCACGCCCACCACCTCTTCCTTCCTCCTTCTCTCCTTCACTTGAACACTTATGCTCCTTTGTTCTTTCTTTCCCCTCTGGCTTCTACAAGATGAGGGAGGCCAACTCTTATACAAAGAGCCTTAAATCATTGAAAAATTAGCAAATTTATCTCAAGTGATGATGTTTTTGTAACTAACATCTCTTTCTGGTCAATCTTGCAAGGGACACCCAAAATTTAGATTGAACAAGATCTCTTATCTGCTCAAACTTTTTGACCCTTTACTAACACTGATTATAAAAACAAATGTGATAATTAACATTCAATGTCTCAGATCTATCATTAAGTTTCTAAGATACTCATCCTACCTCTAAATCATCTGATCCTGGAGACAATAGTCCCTTCCTCAGTGAACCTGAGAACATTACAGCAGGAGTCATTGCCATGGTTGTTTCAGGAGCTCTGACTAATGAGACAATGGTGTCTTGCTTAATCTTCATCTGTTCCTATCATAGAGACACTCTCTGAGCATCCTTTGCCCTGCAGTAACTCCACTGCAGTGTTAAAGCAAGTTCTGCCCTATTAAAAATTTTTGTGAGCTAATCAGACTGCCCTCTCTTCTGCCTGTGTCTCACAAACTCCTGGACGTGAGCAATAGATCCTCCCCAAATGAGCACTCGACCTTCTTTCTTGTATCAGCTCTACTCTAAGGAAGACAAAGCTTAATATCCTCTGGCTCAGGCGAGCTCACACTTTATCACCACCAAACCTGGTCACGCTCCATTTTTTGGTATCCACCATGGGAAGATCCTACTTACTGGTTAAGATAAAGTCCTAAGAAAGAAACTGGACTACTTCTAAAGGTATTAATATTTTCATGTTCAAAGTATATAAAATAAGAAAATATATGTAAACATTTTTCCAGGAAAACTTAAGTATCATTTGAGCATGTACTTCATCAAACCACATGCTTTCTTAACTCAGAAGAGAGATAAGATTGAGATTCAGTGGAAGTACTCATTATTTTAAACTTTGAATAGTATCAGTCTCTACAGAGCTTTATTTCATTTGAAAACTGTCTGCATCTGAAATCCATATGTAAGTCTGATGGTTTCCTTTCTTTATTTCTTTTCTTATCTTCCTTCCTTTCCTACTTTCTTTCTTTCTTCAATTTCAAACTCTTTTTTTTCTTGAGGTACGATCTCACTATGTCATTTCAGGCTGGTCTTGAACTCACTTATGTAAACTAGATTGGCCTCAAACTCCCTGCGATCCTCCTGTCTCAGCCTCTTGAGTGCTGAGATTACTGGCATGTGCTACCATGCCTGTCTCATTTTTTAAATAATTGGCTAACTAGTGTATAGGATTAAGAGGAGTTTAAAACCTTGAATGGAATAAAAAAGGATTCTTCCCATGACTTGCTGAGATTTTATACAAGTTAACTAACCAGTTCATAGAATTAATGAATGAGCACTCCTCAAAGCCTTGAATTGTATGGAAAAAAATTCCATACTTTAATTAAGTCAATTTTTTAAAGAGGGAAATCTTGGGATTACCCCAGTAAGCTCAAATATATTTAGGAGTGCATAATGTCTTTTCCCACTTAAATCATTTAACTCTACAGTATTTTCTTTCAAAATGCTATAGCTATCTCTGAAATTGCTCATGTCTATCTCCTACCACTCACATATGTTCATTAATCCCTTGCTAAAAACCTAGAGTTCTGTTCTGAGCACTACCTCTGCTCGTTGTCTGCTGCCAGCTGTCCCTGCTTGTCTTGAAATATAGAGCCATCCAAGCCAGCGGGTTGGAGACTTACCTTGAACTTCTGGCTTTGCTAAAAATCACTGCCCTTGAGTGCTGAAAGAAATGAAACAAGGTGGGAGAAACGCTTCCTCTGCCTTCCTGTTCCAAGTCTCCACTCACCTTTAGAGAAGACAGGCATGAAGAGAAGAGAGAAGAGGGCAGAGCAGGGCCAGGTCCTTGGAAGCAGCTGCAGCTGAACCTGGTGCCTCCGGAGCCCAAGGCAAGCCATGGCTTTATGGGAACCAAGTCAGGTCTTCAGGAAGCAGAGTGAAACCTTTCAGGATCCTGAACCTTTGAAATGTGTTTGAACCCACACAGATTCAAGGACTTTATATAGACACCTTTGATCCCAGATATGTACTACACATGAGCACACACAGAGGGCACCTGAGTAGAAAGCTTTTTTGTTTTGGTTTTACGAGAAAGGAAGCCGTGGGTTTAGCAGTTACGTCGAAAAGACAACCTCAAACACTCAAAGTAAAACTGAACAAAACAAGCCAATCCATGGATGGAAAATGTACTCAATTTGAAACTGAAGCTTTGTGCTCACTTTGAGGATTTGGATAACTGAGTGGAGACTTAGAGAATTTCCTGGAGTGCAGGAGTCTCTCTACATCCCAATTTTATTCTATCATCTAGATATATTTTACCACCTCATTCATTTCATCAGGGTCCCCTACACCGCTAAGCTGTCAGCCCTCTGAATCCCTGAGCTGATGACAGTCTTTGTCCGTGGATGTCATTAATAAGAACTTCACGCTCCACCTGGAAAGACCATCTTCTAAGGGCCCTGTGTCATGCTTCAAGGGCAAGGGATTATTCCACCTGACTCCTCTTAGCAAAAATCACAAGAAATAAACCAAAAAAGAGTCAGGAAAAAATGAAAAGAACGTAGATACACTTGAAAGCCTTAACAAATACGAGACTGAGTTGGAGAAGATTCAGAAAAAGTCAACCAAAATTCCCAAGAGACTAAAACTTCTATAAGAGGATAGATATTTTTTCTAATAGGAATACTTTTAAGTGTAAAATTCAAAAACTAAGTATGACCAGAGTTCTTACATTTCTAAAAGGTGTAGATAGGACAAATGCTCATCTAATAAGCACTATTACCTAGGATATTAAATTACATAGACTATTTAAGTATTTAGAATACTTAAGTATTCTATGTTCATTTACATTAAATATTTTGAATACTAATATATCAAATATTTTATAATACATTGCGTACATTCGCCGAGAACTTGTACCCTACCGGGAACCACTTAGGAAGACAAAAGCCCAGTGGATGCCTAAGGAGCCTCTGGCACGGTGACAGAGGACAGGCAGGAGAGCGCGGAGCATGGCACGTGCCTGCTCCAGCCGCCTGTGGCTTCCTGCCGTCCATGCCCCTCGGCAGAGCAGACTTTGCAAAACAAGGACCTAATGTGCCCCTTTCCAGCTCATCTTCCAGCACCCCGCACATGCCATTACCCCAACTTGTATCTTTCAGGCCTCATTTATCATCTTACTCAAGCTTCCTTTTCCCCCATTATCTCATTTTCAATTCTTTCAGCCTGTAGGACTTAGCTAAGCGGTCTCATCCTCAGGGAGCCCCTCATGACTTTCCTCTTTTCTCCATTCCCCTAGAATATCATAGAAGCCTTAACACCCCAGCTCTAGTACCAACAAGCAATGACAAGCCAATGGGCACTGACTGAGGGCCAGGTCTCAGAAGTGGCACTAGAGATTTCACAAGTGAAAAATATATACCTGTATCTTCAGGAGGGGCCCACATTGTGGCTGGGGCAGGCAGCTAAACCCTTAATCATGGTACAGGAAGGTAAATACAAGGCTAGAGGTACTGCACAAGGCATAGAAGAACAGAGGCTGTCCGCTTAGTTTATGGACATCAGAAAGGGGTTCTCAGAGAAAGGAAAACTGAGCTTTTTGCTGAGGACAAAGGCAGGGAGTGGGTACTCAGACCTAAAGATCAGCAGGTGCCAAGTCATGTGGAGCTCATTACAGGAAGAAGACACAGCCAGCATGTGGAGGCTGACAGCCTTAGCAGTGAGAGGCAATGAGGCACAGAAAGCGAACTGGTACAACAGAGTTCCCATTTTAGGGAAATTTTTCCCTGAACAGAGAGAAGGCTAGGAGGACAGGTTCGGAAAGAATAAGACATCACCAGGAGAAACAGGACCAAGACTGTTTCAACATCCCAGGTACGAGAAGTTGGAAATTTTTTTCTACAAGGGCCAGATAGCAAATAATGCTTTGTAGACCACATGGACTCTGTTGCTATTCCCTGTTCCTTTGAGAGTGAAAGAAGCCATTGATTATATTTAAAGAAATGGCATGGCTGCTTTCTAATAAAACTTTACTCACAAAAACAGATGGAGACTGGATTTGAGAAGTGGATCATAGTTTATCAACCTTTGATCTAAATGAAGGCAATGAAGGTTGTGAAGACAAGATCCCTAAGAAATGAATCCACAATCAGTGAGTGAAAGGAGACATTTAGGACACCAGAGTCACAGCTTGGAAGGTACTGTGGTGCTGTGAAGAACAAGTCAAACATCTGTCAAACTTCCTCTGATTCAGTCTCATAACAACCATAAAAGATAGAGGCCATAATATTTCCCATTTTATAAGAGAAGGCAATCAAGACATGGAAAGTTAAGGTGACTTATACAATCCCCTGTAGTAGATGATTAAGCCAAGATTTAGAGCTTCTGATGCTATTAATCACCACTTCAAATACTTTGAAGTCAAAGAGAACTGGATTTTTTTTTTATTTTAAAGATAAAAGGAGGGAAACATTAACAGACATACAACATTTTACAACATATCACAAGCACAATACAGACAATATAGAGTTACAAACAAAGTGGTAGGGAATTAACAATGGTGGTTGTATTACATATTGATATCTTCAAAGTGGCTTCTCATGAAAACAGATATAGACATGCAATACTGGTCAACCAAAGGCTCATTGACAAAGAGAACTGGATTTAAATCCTAACATGACAATAGCTAGTTGTTGCCTTGTGACTGACAGCCTAATGTCCTTCAGGTTGGCATCTACTTCTCGAGGCCATGGCAAGGGTTAGAGATGATAATGCATGTTGGATGTATAGAAGGCCTCTTATGATGTCTGTCCACTCAATATACGAGTCCTTTCCAGTTTTGCATTTATTTATTTATTTATTTATTTATTCATTCATTTATTTTTGTAAAGTCACTGAGAAGACAGACTGAAATTTAGTGGAATAAAGAACATAGGAAAGGCAGGTCATGAAATAAAAATGCCAACCTCTATTTGGGCATGCCAAGTTTGTGGTTTCTATGGAGAGACCACCCCAAAGCAGTGGTCATGAGGAATTTGAGGCACAGAAAGAAATTTCTAAAGGTCATGGCTTAGGCATCCATTCAGACACCAATAGAAAATTTCACAGGCCAAGGCATGAAATAAACATTCTGTAAATGTTTGCTAAATCAGTAGATAAATGAATGAAAACAGTTTAATGAAAAAAGAGATGAGAGTTATAACATGAATGTATAAAGAATCTTAGCAAGTTTCCCAATTACGTTTTTATAAAATTATTTCTGTTATAGCAAGAAAATTCGTGGTGATAAAAACTACTTGAAGAATGTTGGTTAAAAAAAAAAAAAGGACATTTTTGCACATATGTTACCTAACAGATTACAGGGAAGATGAAGCAATTGATAAATCCAGTAGATCTTGCCTCAACCAAGTGATCTAGCTGAAGGTCACCCATGTGGGGACATTCTAAAATCATGTGCCTCCAGATACAATGCACTGAGAAGGACACAATGCCTCTCCGGCATTGTTGCTAAAATTGCTTCAGCTGAATCCAATAATGAAGAAATAACCGGACAAATTCATGTTCAGCAAAACTCCTGACATGGAACTACATTCCTTCATAAAAATATGAATGTCAAGAAAGATTATAAAAGGAAAAGCTTGGAAAATTATTCTAGATTAAGGAGAAATAAAGAGATATAATGATTTAGTGTGCAATCCTACACTGTACACGTCATTGAGACCGTTGGAGAAAAGCTGACAATGAAGTATACTCGCTAATAGCTTTAGTGCTAAGTTTCCTAAGTCTTGCCATTGTATTCTGCAGAAAAGCATCCTTGTTTTTAGCTGATCCCTAAGTATTCAGGCTCTACTAGGATGTCATCAAGTAACTCAGTAATGGCTCAACAAAAATATATGTGAATGTGTTGGTAGCAAAAGAGAAAAAAAACAGTAACAAAATGTTAACAATTGGTGAATGTAGGCAAAGAATATATATGTGTTTGTTGTACTATTCCTAAAAATTCTTTGTAAGTTTTCAAAGTAGAATGTTGGAAGTAGAAATTATAAAGTCAACTATTAACATGGTAAACACTATATCAATAAATAGACCCAAATTTGTAGAGGACAAGGAATTTGTTTAAGGTTATTCTCCATCCCATTCATCCATAGGCCTTGCTCCAGCTGGGAGATAGGGCTCTGTGGAGAGTGCTCTATGGGTGCCTGGTAGGGTGATCTCTCAGAGGGTTCAGCTCCTAAGAGGCACCAGCAGAAATCAGAAAGCCCAAGAGTGGAATCAGGGTAGTGTTTTTCCTTGCTCTCTTCCAGAGGCAAGGCCTGCCTCAGTGTGGTAGTAACTATACTTCACAAGGGCAGCTCCCAGCAGGTGAACATGCCTGCGCACCCTCAATCCCTGGTTCCATGAAGTTAGCTCTCACTCTGAAGTTTTGTAATACTCTCTTTCTTACCCTATTCCTTCTAGTCTGAGGGAGATTATCAGCTTCCATTACTGCTAGTACCTAGCTGTGTCACCACACAACCACCACTCTCTTTAATTTTTTTTCTTTCTTTTTTTCTTCTTTGAGATGAGGTCTCACAAGGCAGTTCAGGCTGGCACTATATAGCCCCCACTGGCCTCAAACTCGGAGCAATCTTCCTGCTTCTGTCTCAGAGTGTTGGAATTATAAGCATGCACCGCCATGCCTGGCTTAGTATCTCTCAAAGTAGTCCTTTCATTGACTTTCTTATTCAGCTACTTGTTTCCTGTTGAAAATCTTATACGTAGCAAGAGGTAAAAACTGGGTTTAAACCTTTGTTTGCTCATCTCCATCTAATACTTTTTTTTCTCTATTATCTCATGTACCATATGGGCTGGGTTTGTCACCATTGTGCATGTGTAATTCTGTCTCCTGAGCTCCAAATGCTGTTTTCACAACACTTGCACCCATACCACAAAGACAGCACCTAAATCAGGGTCTCCTCTGCACATAACAACTGAGGATCGCTAAGCACTAATGAGCCCAGCACAGTGGTCAGGAGCATGGTTGGAGTCAGATGTGT